GGTTCTTTAGATAGTCACAAACCTGATCTTCGCTTACAGTGCGCGGGCCTTCCTTCTCCCAGTCCCTGCCTTTGGCTTCTGCAACTTGGACAGTGTGACTAGAGCACTTGTCAGTGAAGACTGAGGCAAAGAAGTCATTGAGAACCTCAGCCTTCTCCATATCCCTCATGACCAGTTCTCCTGTTTCCATCCAGAGAGGGCCCACAGCTTCCCTAGTCTTCCTTTTATCACTGACACACCTATAAAATCTTTTCTTGATGTCCCTGACCATATTTAATTCTATCTGGGCTTTAGCTTTCCTTACCTGATCCCTGGCTGCTTGGACAACCTCTTTGTATTCTTCCCAGTCTACCTGTCCTTTCTTCCACTTTTTGTAACTTCTCTTTTTGTCTTTAAGTGTGTCCAGGAGTTCCCTGTTCATCCATGCAGGCCTCCTGGCATTCTTGCCTGCCTTCCTCTTTTTTGGGATGCATTGCTCCTGGACTCAGAGGAGGCAGTCCTTCAATATGGACCAGCTTTCCTGGGCCCCTCTCCCCTTCAGAGCTTCATCCCATGGTACTCCACTAAGCAGATCCCTGAAGAGGTCGAAGTCTGCTCTCTTGAAGCCCAGGGTAGCGAGCTTGCTGTGCAGTCTCCTTGTTACCCTGAGGATCTTGAATTCTAACATTTCATGGTCACTGCAGCCAAGGCTTCCCTTGCCTTCATTAAAATCATTAAAAAACATTTGGAAACAGATACATAAGATTTGTAAAACAAGAACTATACCCAAATAGAGGGCATTTATTCTGGATTTCATGACAACAGATAAAGACAAACCATCCACCGAATGAGAAGTCATTGATTACAACCTGATTCCGTTTAGGATGGGTGAATTACAGAGAACAACCCTGACTAGTAACAGGTCCATAGTACTTCAGAAGGACACTAATGCAACTAACCAGGACAAAATATTTACATGGGCAAAGTGGTGGATTCACCATTTCAGTGTTTTAAAATTAGAATTGATACTGTTCTTCTAGCAAAACACAAATCATGAATGTCACTACAGTAATAACTGAACAAAATATAATGGCTTGTGCTATTCAGTATGTCACATTAAGTTTGTGGATTGTAGCCTTTTCAACAAGTTGTGATATTACTGTCTCCTCCTCCCCTCCTGTGCTATCCCATCCTTATCCCCAAACTCCCATTTTTCCCCTTGTCATTGCACTTTTCCCTCCTCTGCTCTTACTTCCTTAGAGTCCATAAAATCCATGCAAAAGCCAGTCCTTTTATATACTCTTTAAAAATAAGTAAAAATGAAATTAATTGTTCATAGTACACACTAACATAATCTTGAATAGAAAGCCTCATCTGTTGATGCAAGGCCAGGTTACAGGGAGATGTCTCTGTAAAACATAATTAATTAAAGCTGAAGTCCATGGAGGTAAAAAAAAGCCTTCACTTAAATGCAGCAGGACACGCAGAGGAACTCTCCTCAGACCTAAACATGGCAAATATGACTATGATATCATGTATGCCCACCATTTCTAATCAGGTGACCTTCACAAAGTTAGCTGACAGTGTTCTTACCACTTTCTCCTTGTAAACAATGTATTTCAGCCACTTGAAATCCTGCCATTTGAATCCCGCCAGAACAAACAGGGAATCCTTCTCATACTGCTCCATTTTCTGGATTGCACCTTCAGGATATGTGATCCGGAGAGTTGTCTTGCCACCCACATCTTTTTCAAAGCCCTTCACTGGAGCTGAGTTCAGCCTGCAGGGCAACCAGAGAAAACACGGTCAAGGATTATCACTTACACTCATGCATGTTGATATCACAATCACTGCTGGGGAAGAGTTCCCTCTACACAGCTGTTACAGCAGCAGATGTTAACTCTTGCAGTTCTTCATCACAAATATTTATGAAGCTTTACACCAAGGGACAACAGTTTAACTACAAGCTATTTAATTATTTAATTGAATATAATGCAAACAATTTCTGCATATCCACCCTTGTGATTTAAATTGGGTTGGAAGCTATGGAAAACAAAACCGAAAAATATTGTCCTTGAAAATTTAGAGTTACAAACTAAGCTTTAATATTTTAACATCCTGTTGCTCCTGGGATATCTTACTTGGATTCTGCAAGACTGTGCTGAAACAGAGGATGCAGTTCCATGGCAGTTTAAGTGAACTGAAACTGGTCTCACACTCCAACCCCAGTCCAGAGCTTACAGTGCTCATCTAACCTCCTTGTTTAGGGAACTAAGCCAGTTAATAATTAAAAAAAAAAAAAACAAAGGAACAATCTCCACCTGGTTTAATTCCCCAAACTGGCCCATCCAGAAGGCAAGCTCCCCTGCAATTGCCAACGCAAAGGAAGAGGTTGAGCTGTGCAGCCAGAGTAAGGCTCAGCAGCACTGTGCTCTCACTGACTCAGAGGAGTTTCTGCTGTGAAAGTGCATCCCACTCTGAAAACATCCAAGCAGAGACACAGCTTTGCTCTTAGGCACACTGATTTCTAAGGGAATGCTATGTATTTAGCTGTGCTTTTATTAAAATACCCTTCAGGGACAAAGTTTTTTCCCTTCAAAAACCAAAATGCTCTGGCATTAACAGCAATGATGACTTTCACGACATTAAAGTTATTCAGAACTTCTATGTAAAACTAGAAACCCAAAGCTAAGGAAATTTCAAGTGACTTGGAATACAAATCTTGCTGACATCAAACAGCAGCCCTGGATGGAACAGCATTGCCTGCTTGAATTATTGCAGCCTTCTTGACTTGGGTAGTTCAATATACTGGAAAGTGCTTAGAGACCACAAATTTTGCTGTATAGGAACGTTAATGAGGATCTGGATTTGTCTTTTTCAGTCCGGGTAAGCATTTTAGGTGGGAAACCTTTTAGTAGAAGAAAATCCCTGTATACAATCTGAAATTCTATTCAGAATTAAGGAGAAGAAATTCCTATGTGTTTTTAGTAAAAATACTTAATTTCTCATTAGAAAAAAAATATTAAAGGGAAAACAATTTAAAAATTGGCACCACCTCAATTTATACAGGACAAAGCCTTTTTTTGTGGTTTATAAACCTTTGCTTTGTACCCTGACTTTGAGGTATCTAGACCTGACTGCCTGCAAAAACAGTGCTCCTGGCCAGCCTGATCCCTTGCTTTTTCCTCTGTTGCTGACAGTGCATTCACACGTCACTCACTTTTGCTATGGGCATTATTTAAACTTCAAGGCGTTGAGTCTCTTTTGGGTAGATGACCCTACATAATGTAAAAGCACGTGGCTCTAAAGGTAGCAGAGATAAGTACAACAAAGTACTAACCATGTAAAGGAAGCTAGTTATATATATTTTCACTGGTCTTCTTGAAGTTGAGGGAAAGTTAACATCTGCGGTCATTTCAAATGTCAATGTGTAGCTCTTTGGCAGGGTTTTCCCCACCACCAGCTGCTGGGTGTTTTGCTGCTTACCTTCTTAAAGCTCCAAAAACTTGGGACCCCTACTTTGATTTTAGACAGGAAACAAACCAAACCATTTCCTCAAGTAAAATGAACTTAGGTCTTCAGCAAAGTGCCAGAGTATGAGTTGCTGATGGAGTCACAGTGATGGAGTCCTGCTAATGAGCCACCACTGTCAGCCCCAGGGGCAGCGCAGGCAATGGAGCAGGAAAAGTTCCAGCAGCCACAACTTGTGTCCACAAAGGTGCATACTACACAGCTTAAACCCTTTCTCAGGCACGACACACTGGTGGTTATAAACACAGCTACATTTTAGAAAACCTCTGTTAGGATGCCAGGCCTCCTCGTACTACCCATGGACAGGCAGTTTTCTCCACAAGAGGTTTCAGTGGTTTTCTGTCTGTGTCCGCTGATAACATAGGCAGCTTAGAGACATTAACTCCCAACCTTTGCACCATGAAGACCCTCTCAAATATCACTAAAGTATCATCATCAGGTGAATCTCTGTCTCATTCTAACCAGGAATTTATGATACATCCTTGTTCTTGCCATTTGCATTCTATTCTAAGGAGGCATTTCAGAGCACTGATGACTGACTGCTGCAAGAAGCTGCTGCCAGGTAAACAACACGGCAGCTTGCAATAAAGTCTGCACTGAAATCTGGTAATATCCAGTTAAAGAAAAACAGTAACTAACTCACTCCAAGCTCTTTTAGAACTGTCAAATCTGGTCTGACTCTTTTTACCACAAGATTAAAATTTCTTGCTGCAATAGTGATCCTCACATGGTAATACGAGGCATCAAAAAACTCCACATACTGCTGGATCACTCCTTTGTCCAGAAATGTACCACATTTTTCCCCTTAAAATTCACCTACTACGTCCCAAATCTGATCCTTCAAAGGAGTTGTGCAACCTATGAAAAACGATGCTATAACACAGGGGACTTCCCCAGCTTCCACAGGAGTAAAGGAAGCAGTTGGATACATTTAAGAGGAAGTCTGCTCTCACGTCAGTCCCACATCCAAGTGTCTGGCTTCATTTAACCTTTGCAGTTGACTTTTCTCTCCTTTACCACCCCAAAAACAGCCCAGGTGCTTAGCTGCCCTCTTATCCTCTCAGCTTGCAAACTGCCTTAGATTCACTGATGTGGAGAGAAAAGGCTTAACTTTTCATTTGGAAATTAAATGGTGGACTTTCTGATGTAAATCTTAGTGGGTGGCTTAGTCCAGATGGATTGAAACTGTTCTCTTGCTACTTTTCCAACAGTTTGAGCCCAAGAAAAAGGCTATAACTGAATTTTAACTCAGCTCAAATAACTGCAGGTCACCAGAAGTAGTAAGAGCTCTTTTCTAACAACTGATAGTGGGATGAACTAGAAGAGGTGTAAAATTTTTCTCCTGTTCTGAACAGTCATCCCCATGTCCAGAGCACTGCTGGGGAAGCAGGGAACCGTTCACAGGTACAAGGAACTGAAAGGGATCTTCTTGGTCTTTTTGTCCAGAGTTACAGGGCATTTATTACTCTGTGTATGTTCTATTTTTTCCTCACGTGCCCATTACTAGCACTTGGGAGAGAAAGGAGACTATGCTAAGTACTTTCACTGTGCCTTAAATTCTTTCACTAATCCTTTTCTTTCTTCCACCTTAGCTTAGAATTTGCTATTTGCCACCACGTCTCAGGGCTGGCTAAAGTTCAGAGAGATGATATCAGCTACATTCCCTTTAACATGAAATCAGTTCTCTTACTAAGGAAAAAAAAAACAACCTGGACTATATTAAACCAGTTTTTATAAACTTACACTGTGGTTTATCCCACTTTTCCTATTTACCATTGTAATATTTTGTTACTCATAATTAAGAACATGCTACAAAAGCTCTGCATTTTTTTCAAGTCAGACTAATGGATCTAGCTCCCTAGAGCATGTCCTCCTTCCCTCCTACACACACTTCCTCTCTCACTCTCCATTAGTACAGATACTATGTTTGTTAATCTCCAGTCACCCAGAACACCTCCCTGACTTGACAGATGTATTACTAAGAGTTATGACTAGACCTGTGATTTCAAATATCAGCATGTTTTTCAAGCATTCTGAGATGGCGGTGATCTGAGTCCTCAGCAAAAGCAAGAAGTCCCAACTTTGACTGTGGTCCTTTCCATTCCTTTGCCACTCTGCTTCTGCTCCCTTATTCAACATCATCATCCTCAGTGAAACAGAGGCAAAGTATTCAGTTTCTACGGTGCACCTACAGCTGTTTAATCATTACTGGCTCCTCACTCATGGAGGCTTACTGTTCCTAAGACTCTATGCTGCACCATTTTTGGTTCTTCCTACCCTAACTGTGAAGGGTAGGTCCCGGGGAATGCTACACATGTATGACCAATAATACTTCCTTGAGCTACCCAGGGGATATACCTAGGAGCAGATCTAACAGAACGTTTTACTGCTTCACTACCTAAGGGAATTGCAAAAGCAGCAGCTTTTAGAAAGGAGCTATGAACAGAAGGTTCAAGTGGGATCACAGAAGACACCACATTCCCAAACAGCTGTGGAAAATGGAATGCTTTACCCTTTGATGTGATCGCCATTTATATGCTCTTTCCCCTTGCCTCCATATTAGTTAATGCTTCCATACAAATGGATACAGTCACTAGTATAGGTTTAATGTTTGCCTGCATAGCATGTGAACTGATACAGAATCTGTATATATAACAAGAAAAAGAAAACTGTGATACCAAAGACTCACCTGACAACAATATCATAGTCATCAATTTTTAACCCCAATGACTTATTTGCAAGTACTCCACCATTTCCCACAATAATACATCGCCGGCAGCTGAGACTGTGGAAGAAACAGAGGAAAGAGGTGATTTTTGTAACATAACTTCAAACACACCGAGCTGCATATATTTAGTTTGCACCTATCTGAGAACTACAGGAAACCTTTTGGAATATTAAGAATTAAGGGAAGGACAGAGACACACATGATCCCCAGCTCACCCCATCGTGCCCAGGTGTTACACACGATAAACTGCTTTCAACACCTCACACCACGTGTGGCCTAATGAGATGAGCTGTCAGGACAAGCAGCTCCTCTCCTCCCACACTCATATGATGGGCTTGAATCAAACCCATCTGTTTACTTAAAACTTCTCATTATTCATTTAGCACTGAAATAACAATAAACCAAAGGCTTAGTGAGGAAGTCCTCTCTCCAAGCAATTTTCTGAGTGCAGGCAGATCTTGCTGGGTTATCTGGGGTGTGCTCACCTTGCTGAGTGCAGAAATCAAGACTTCAAGACACAGAAAAACACTAAATGGATAGAAAAAGGACATCCCTCGCACTCCTGTCCAGTAAGAAACATATATGGAGACACAATGGGTGACAAAGGGGAAGGAAAATAACCTTAATTAACAAAAGAACAGGAAAGAGAAGGAAGAGAACAGTTTCTTGTGGAACCACGAGTCACAAGAACTCTCTGCAGCGGATGTTAAAAAGTGATTTCGTTTTGAAGACAGAGGGAGAGGACTTCTTTCCAGACATCTAATCCCAAACGCAGCTGGCTCTTCTGGCAATGTGCCTCCATCTCTGGTAGTTCACTGAAGGAATACGTGTCTGCAGAGCCTTTTTCGGAAAGGGTCCAAGGCAATCAGTTGTTTGGAGCAGATCTCTGGGCTAGGCGGCCTTCCTAGTCCCAGGCACAGTCAACTGGTCTCTTCTAGGCTGTCCCCACTGTGATCAATCTAAAGAGCCAGAGTGAGGAAAGCTCTACTTATGTGGGGCCTGCAGAGCAGAGCTGGAGCGTACTTAAAAGACTCAGCTAAACCACTGAGGGTTACCCTGCTGACAGAGCCATTAGCTGGAGGTATGCGCTGGAGATGTGAGCAGAATTAATAGCACCAAGAAACTCTCAGGAACAGCTTCCCCAGCCCACATAAAGTTTCATGCAGATTCCAGCCTTTCCAAAAGAAAAAACCTCCTCAAGAAGATGGACATATTAGCCCAGTGCTCATGTTCCTAAGTACCTAAGAAGTGTGGATGTTTGTAATAATCAAATCACAATAGAGAAAGAACTTTATAGACAACGGCACAGAACAAAAATACAATCCTGGTGACAAGGAGAAAGCAGAGGCAAGACCTCGTTCAGGCAGTATATTGTGTAAGGAGAGAGGGTAAGAGCCAGCCTCAAGTACATCCAACTTAAGTAACAAAGATGGTAACTGCTTTGTCAAAAACTTTAAGGAAAAGGTGCTGCAGGAGGGAAAAAAAGACATAGTCCAGTTCTGGACAAGTGAAATTTCAGATGAAAATACACTCTTTTGATGATTACGATAAGAAAGTTTGACCTCCTAAAACAACAGACTGCTGTAATTTCTCTACCTAGTTGTCTCTGAGCCATGACTTATCTTAAGTTTACATTTTGAAGAAGAATACAATCCTGAAATCCAAAGGCTGTAAGCTATAGACACTCCCCTCTATCCCTTTCCCCCTTACCATTAGGATGCTAGGTCTTACCAATTTTGAATACAGATGTGTTTGTTTCAGCCTCAAACCACTTAATTGCATTTTTCCCTTTTCTGCTAAATTAAAGCACCATCTACTGTCAGCACTCCCTTCCACAACTGCATGTGATCCACTTACTGACAAACCACTGTGTGTAAACATCTGCTGCTAGATGGATAATCAGTCACAGGTCAGACTGGTGAGCATCAGCCACTACACATGAGATAAAAGAACCAGTTCCACCAGCCAAAGCTGTTTCAGCAGCATCTCTTCATGGCCCTGTTCCCACACAGCACTTGTAGGCTGATCAAAGCTCATTCTTAATTTTCTCTTGGCCACACAGACCAGAGCGAGCTCATCACATCGCTTACAATATGGCAGCTCTCCTAGATCTTGAGTCACATTTGCAGTACCTCTCTGAACTGTTTTCAACTTCCCCCCAAATCTCTGAAGCACTGACTCTGGAAGACCAGTACGCGGAGCTAATGCTGCTCAAATCAGGGTCCCTTTTACACACAGATTTTATGTACATACAGTCATTGGTTTGCAGAATATAATCCTCATCTTGTAAGTATGATCCATGTTGCCACCTCTGAGATGCCTGACTTTTGATTTGGTTCCAGTAAAGGACTGCTCAGAGAACGGCCCCATGAGGTCTAGACTGACTTGGCCCTCCCACTCCTTACTTCCGCAGTCTCTGGTTCTGGCAAATTTTCCTAGTGCAATTTTACATTTCCTCCAGATTGGTTTTAACCATTGTAAACACCTGCCAGCAGAATTACACTAGAGGTGTCACTAAAGGATTAATTCTCAACCCTGACAGTAACTTTTTAAAGCTACGTGACACATCCCATTCCCAAAAACCATGTGTCTACAACAGTGTTGTGTAGAATCAGAATATAACACACTGAGACAACTAAGTAATGCCTATCTTTACAAGGTTACCTTTATCAATCAAGCTTCTAGTTCATCTAAAAAATACATCCTCTATATGACAAGATTTCCTTTCCACAAAACCCAAGATAACTCACACCAATTATGCTGCTATCCTAGCTCTGTCCCAGATCTAACTTCCCAGGATTTTTCCTGCAAAATCGACCAAAGCAACTTACAGCCACCTCTTTGTCACCTCCCATATTTCTCCAGGAATGGCACAACATTTGCTGTTCTATGAAACATTCCAAGAAGGGTTAACAAGCAAACAGTAATAACAAAAAGAATTCTCTATTTAACTCTTTAAACACTCCTCAGTGCTTACTGATTTAAAAAGACATGTAATTGTCATTTAACATCCTCACAGTTACTAATAAAAATGCACAAAGTATTTAATTGTTGCTGTAGAATGGGACAACATCATTCTGTCTTTATCCCAAAAAATGAAATAAATACTTAACTGCATGGTTCTGCCTTTACTCATCATAACTGATAGGTTAATCACCTTTGCCCAGTTTCATGTCTGAACCACTCTTATACCCTCATGGTCTTGACATATTTAAATGTGTCCTCCTTTTTCCTTAAGCCCACAGATACGTTTTTTCATTAGTATCTTTTTGATGCTAAGGTCTAATCTTTGATCTCCTAGCAGCTTTTTCTTAAATTTCTTTCAAAAGTACTGTCATCACAAAGCTGAAAGTTTCTGTTGCACACTCAGAAGGCAGTACTCAGGTGCAGACTGCTTTCTTCAGGTGCACATGATGAAGATATGGTGAGTCTTGGATTTTGTCTGGGTTCTGCACATCAGGCTTGTACGTCAAGCCTGGGCAGCCAGGAGTGTTTTGATTAAGACGGGCAGAAAGATGAGCTGGCTTGGTCTCAACAGCTTTGGGAATCACACTGTGGGACAGTGAGAAGACTGCTGGGCCACCCTGATGGCATTATGAAAGCGAAGCATTTGCCAGGGACATCAGGCACCTGATCTCACATCCTAACCAGAAGTTTGGACACTTGGCACCAGCGTAGCTGGCCTTCACAGCCACCACTGACTGATGGTGCCTGAGCATGGGAAACCTGCAAAGCCACTTCTGGCTCCAGGCAAGCTTCTGGCTGAAGAAACACACCGTGCAAGCAGCATCAGTTACAGCTCAATTGTTTCTCCACAAAGAAGCGTGCAAACACCTTTTTGTTTGTTTAACACAGTATGTTAAAGCTGAATTTCTTTTCCAAAAGAGCTCAAGGGCTGAACACATTGGACACAGCCCAGGTTCCAGTTTGCTACCAGGGTGGTATGAAGGAGGGTCACGGACTTTCCACACCAGACAGGCTTTCCCTAAAGCCTTAGGGTGGGAGCTGCAGCTAGATGTACAGCCTCTTGACATAGGTTCTCAGAGGTTGAGTTCATCTACACCAAAACCGGGATTCACACAGATCTTCTTGAACAATATAGCACTGTAAACACATGTATGCATTGTAGCAATACTTCCTCTCTTATCAAAGCGCTTTAGGGATTCGTCAGGGAGAAAACCCAAAAAGCCTTCCTTTATGCAACTTTGGAACTTTATGCAACTTTGGAACTAAAGGCTTTGAGGAAAGATGTAACAGAATAATTAAAAAATAGATCATTAGGGTAACCGGTGCTTAAGGAGACTTAGCATATTCTGGTTTGATCTGGCTGCTGCTACTTAAACTGATGCTATCAACCTGAGCCAGAGTGGCATACACATTTCCTCCCCTACTCTATCAAATTCCTGCCTCACTTGTTAGTTTATATATTGCACTAGTAAAGACTGTGTTAGTTATAAGCTTAAACTCTTAATTTTCCTTCATTACCACCTGGAGGCAATACAAAATGGTCACCCAGGTTTTTATATTTATGTTTTTTCATAGGAAATTTACAGGTCATCACTGCAGAGATTTAACTCCAAAATCCACTGAAGTCCAGCCTGCAGAAGACCTCCAGCCAGCAGAGGAGCCATGGAACTAGAAAGCAATCCCTGATCAATTTGCAGAATGAGGGGCAAGCCACTGGAGGAGCCACAAAAGCAAGCAGTGAAAATGTCAGTAATATAAATGGGCCTGGAAAAGCCAACAGAGGGCAAGACAACCCTGAAGTGTCAAAGACGAAGCCCACTGACATGTGCGTTAGGGAGAAAGACATGCCAGCTCTGAAGGAAGAGGACAGTGATTCTAGAGAAAGGTCCCCTGGATCTCCAGTCTTCTCCAGAAAAGCTCAGAGCTGAGTTGCAACTACCCTCACAACACAACCACAGCTTTACCTACCTCCTACCCTGGAGCAGAAGCAGGTTACTGTAAGCAGTTCAACACAAAGGTGCCATAATAAGGAGTCGTGAAGAAAACTAAGAAAGCATGGCACCACTTACACTATGTTACAGGCATGAACTATAGCATTTGTTCACATGCCCTCCAGCTGCTGCTAGTTATTAACACAATACTCACAACAGAGGTATTAGCTGGAGTGAGTTGGCAAAGCTGCTTTGGGATGATGGAAAGTATATGCAGACCCAGAAGGATCGAGTTTGCCTCATTTCAGCACTAAGCTGGTACACTGTGTCAGGAAAGGTGCATCAGGATGCCCTTTCGGCACAGGGATAATAAAACAAACAAGTTCATTTCAAAGGCTCATGGGAGGCAAACATCTCAAAGGACAGCTTTGTCAAGGAGGACAGAAAAGGGGAAGCTTGGATGGCGAGAAGACCAAAGGCTTGGTGTAGATCTACCACCATACAAGTCTAAACCCCTCTTTCCTGCTCTGACCTCACCTCTCCTGCCTCTCCCACCCTTTCCCCAGGAAAGCTGCATTGAGCCTATGGTTACATGAACACTTGCTTCAATAGGCTCAGCAGCGCTCACTCTCCCCACCCATCCCCAGCCCTCTGCCTCTGGTGCTGCTCTTGCAGCACTGTGCCAGCACAACTCTTTAGTGGGAGGGGAGTTCTGTTAATGAGGTAACTAGAACGACCTGGGTTAAGAGAAAAATTTCTAAACTGGAATTGTTTCAGTGACCCACTCTGAAGTCCTTCTTCAAACAGTAGCAACACAAGGAGAAGGTAGGGAGGTACCATCTGAGAGCAGGCAGCAGCAAATATAGCTTCTTAGACTGGCTTTGCCAACAGAGAAAATGTTGGTGTAACTCCATCCTGAAGAGAGGGTGAACCTGGAGCTTTTCCCCTACTGCTAGAATCAGCCCACTAGACTTCTGAGCCTAAAGTGGAAGGTGCACACAACATCTCCTAAGTCTGACCCCTTGTACCTCACAGACTTTAGCTGTGTCTCTTACCTAATTCCTTCAGAATAAGGCACTTTTTCAGCCCTTAATCACAGAATCGTAGGATGGTTTGTGTTGGAAGGGATCTTTAAAGGTCCTCTCCATTTGCTCCAAGGTGGTGAGCAAAGGGGAGAGGTCCAGACTTTCTCCTTAACCAGTGAGCAGTAAGGGAGTGAAACAAACCTCAAGGCCCTGCTTTCACCACACTGGAGCTTCCACAGAGAGGAACTGTGGGGCTCTGCTTTGAGCTTGAGACAAGATGAGAAGTAGCTAACCTTCCCTCATCAGTCTGCTCCATCAACTCTTCTGGAATCCAAAATGGCTGCCAGCTCCATAATTCATTGATGATCACGGCTGAAGAACATTTCTGTAGCATACCCATGTCTTCATCTATACCCTACTCATCAAGAGTTTCCAAGAGCAGCACTGTGGTACCTTTAACACCTCCTACAGTACCCAAGCTCTCTGTCATAATAAGCCCTCTGTTGCAACTCCATCCACCTACTGCTTTAGGCTCTCACTTTGTGGCTTGCTACCCCAAGCCTTTCCTGTCCCTTTCTCCAACATTAGCTCAAACTGTTATCTTTCCTAAGACTTGCTCACTTGGAAGGGCTCTAGGAGGTATTTGACTGTGAGGCGTATGTACTACACAACCAACATGCATTGCTTTGCATTTATCACAAAAATTTCCAAGAAAACAACACTTCCCCAAGATTCTGTGTGTTTACAAGCATACACACCACCAAACCTTGCTACTGCAATACTATAGAAATACATTTCTGGCCTGTTCCTTAGGTCTTGTTCATACTTGATATCTCAAAGACTTTGCATATGTTTCACGAAGGCTTGAGTATTAGGTCTTTCCTCTCTCTGCGCCAAACCCAAAATATAAAGAATGTAAAACCAAAGTGAGCAGCTCATGCTAGAGTGGCTATGTTTTGCAACCTCCTGAGAAATGACTTTTGAAAAACCCGAAACATTCCACTCCTCAAAAACCAGGTGAGCAGCAAAGGTCACAATTACATTAACCTTCACTGCAATAATCTTCCACATGGCCTCTGTCATTAACACAAATTTCCCACGAGCAACCTTCTGAAAGAGCCTATATGTGGATTTTTCAACAGATTAAAATCTTAATTTTCCAACCAGAGCTGAGATAAACCCCAGATGGGTGAGGCTCAGTTGTATGCAAAATCTCTACGAAGCTCATTTGTAAAATTATTTTGCCTTCTGGACATCATTTCTCAAACTAATCCAAACCCTAACTGATGGCTAACCTTATCCGGCACTGCTGTGAGGCAAGGCAAACTTCAAAGCAACCTAAATTAGCACATAGACTGCAAAAAACTCAGAATAAACTTTCACACAGAGAGTAACTCTCAACTCTAATGACAGTGGGCAAGCTCTACAAGCAACACAAGAGATGTGGAGACCTATGGAAAGGCTTGAAAAGCACATGAACTTTCTCACAGAAAAGTGGGCAGAAGGGGAGGTGGGCTAGAAAATAAAACCAATGTGTTTAGAAAGCAGGAACGGTGGTGTTAGCCCAGGTTCAAGGGAGTACCAGTGCTTGGAAAGAAGTAGTACAAGGACTTTGGAAAGAGATCACGTTCCAGTAAAAACCTCTGACAGCTTCTGAAAGAAACCACCTCTAACCTGGGAGGTGGCGCTAAACCAAAACTGCAGGGCAAAGAGAAGGAATGACAGAAAAGCAAGGACAGGAAAGCCTAACGAACTGTCATTGGGAAACTGACTGTAAACATGCTAGTGAGTTTCAGAAGCAACCTCTACAACAGGACTGAAGAATCAAAGGAGCTTCTTCTGAAGGCATCAATTCAAATACCGCAGGACCCAGGAGACTGCTATCACATCCTGGCACAGGCTTGGCCAACACAATCACACCTTCCTGCTTTAAGAGTGAGGTATTAGTGAAACATTGTTAAAACAAACCAGTCCCTTCTTTCCCTCTAAGAGTTCCTTGTGATCCTGTTGCTTTGTCAGAAAGGCTGAAAAAGAATGTGTTTATTGAAAACCTGCTATTTACTTATTTGAAAAAGGAGCAAGAAGATATATTGTAACACCGTAGGAAACAAAAGATTAGGAAATAGTCAAAAGGTAAATTATTTTTTTCTACTCATATTTTACTTAACAGAGGTCTCCAGAGTTTACAGATTTACTGGAAAGAGGACTCATCTTCCAGCTCCTGATCTACTTCCAAAGCACAGACAAATTTATGGGCAAATAATTTCTGGCAAAAATATCTACCAAAATTTATTTAGGACACATGGAAAATAATCACTTCTATTCTAAAAGGTCTCACCTTACCTCTCAAGAGCTGGAGTTAGACGGTAATCTTTGGTTGCTGACAGGATGGCTTTGATCAGATTATCTGGGGAGAAAGGAGAAGACATTAGGAATGATTCCTCATTTCTAATGGAAATGGAAAACAAAACGATGTAAAACATTTGAAGCAGTTACTTGGAGGAACTGAAATAAGGTTCACATTAGGAATAAACACTTCAACTTGTATATTCCAATTTTCTCTGGACAATGACCTTCACACACTGGCTGCAAAGACACGTGCCAAATTCTGACGCAGTGTGCAAATGCCTTACACAGAGAGAGTGACAGGGAACAAACACCATACATTTTAAGGGAGTGCTTTCATACCCACTCCCCTGAGATTGCAGTGTCACAAACACTTCAGACGCGAAAAAGTCAGTATCACTGTCAATGCTTGCTTTCAGACAAGCTTGTATGCAGCTGAGTGGTGAACCGGATGCAGGAACAGAACCACGTTAAAACTGATGCTTTTTATTTTCCTGGGTTACTTTTAGTTTAGGTTCAGTTCCTCAGTCTGGCTTTCTTCATGGCAGAATCCAATTAAACCATCACAGCTGCTTAAAGAAACGCCCATGGAACCACAATCTACACTGATACCCAATGAACCCTGCGGCAATCAGATGGTCTAAGTTATGCAAGTGTAGACACATGCTCAAATTAGATATATTAAATTGTAGAAGTACAATGATTACACATAAATAATTCTATTAACTGTGGAAATTTTTGAGTCTGTGTCTTTCTAGATTTTGTCTTTCGTCCCTAATTTTTCCACCTCTCTCCCCCATAAAGGTCCAAAATCCTTTACCATGACACATCCAGGGCCAAGAAGCAGCAATGCTGTCCTAGGTTACAGTGTAAAATGTG